CTACGTTGTGTCGGTTTTTGCTTTTGTGTTCTTCAACAAAATAACGTCGAAACGTCAAGTTATAGCATTTATTTTTCTTTTAAAATGATTTCTTTGTAACCGAGTATCCTTTGGGATTTGAGGGACAAAAGAAACTTGAAAATTTAGTCCTGAAATCCTCGGAGACATGCTAGAATATTGATACATTGAACGTGGCCTATTACCTGCCCGTTTTGTTGAACACGTCCATTTACACGAGCGGGAAGCATTTTTTTGACCAAAAGATTAAGTATAAAGAGCACGTTCTTAGTAACTGATTCTTCGTAATATGTCCTTGAATCTCCCAAAACCCTAATAAATTTGAGACTTGTCATATTGTCAGATGGCGATCCACATAAACAATGCCTTATCTCTCCAGAAACACTTTCTTCCTGTTCATGCATGCTCACATGCCAGTTCAGAATCTTAACAACGAACTAAAGTACTGTAGGTACTTTCACACCGTATCAAATTGGGGAAAAAGCACAACTTTTGCGAAAAAACGGCACCTTCTTGAAGAATCCAATATGGCGGACGATGCTCCAAGGAGCGTGGTAAATGTATGCATGCATAAATTTGCGTGTACAAATGTGACACCAAAACGGAGGAACGGAGCCCATTTTATAACTCATCCGTCATACTGCGCATGAGTAATGAAGGAAAACTTCGTAAAGCTATATCCTTCATGGTGAAATAAGTAACCTCGTCGCTTTGGGCGACAAATTAGCGTAACATTTTATGTTTAATCGAATTTGTTGAGCTTGCGATTGTTGGTTGGCTAATTGGCTGGCTGGCTGGCTGGCTGGCTGGCTGGCTGGCTGGCTGGTCTATTGGTTGGTTGGTTGGTCTGTTGGTCAGTTGGTTGGTTGGATATTTAAACACGGTAATTTTGATCAAATTTTGATCAAGAGGTACACCTGACGCCAACGGCTATCCGACATACACTGTAGATTGGACTTTTTTTCTAGTAAGCCAAACTTCCATTTGCAATATCACTCAGGCAGACATTATCCCAGGGTTCAAAACTG